CGCTGCCGCAGCCGCGTTCCTGCCTTCTCGCCTGCTCCCTTCCTTCCCTGGCCGGGGTGACAGGGCTGCGTTAAGGCCGAGCGCCCTGAAAGCCGAGCGAGGTGCTTGTGCTTGTCCCTGAGCGTCCCCCTCTCGCCGCGGGTGGGTTTTGGGTGAAGCTCTTGGGTGTGAGTGCTTTGCCGCGGTGCCAGGTGGGTGCTGCGCTTGCGGGCCTGGAAGCGCTGCCTGTCCTGCTCAGCTAGAGATCTTTGTAAAAGGCCGTCAGTTATTCAAGCCCAAGCCTTACCTTCTTTTTTTTTTTAAATAACATTTGAAGTCATGCAGGCAAGAGGAAGCATTCTCACCATTTGAGGAAAAAAAAAACGGAAAGAATTTTCTGTAGCTCTTTAAACCCAAACCTGGCAATGGTAGATGAATCTTGGCTCGCTAATTTCTGTAGTTGAAATAAAGGCTCAGCGAGGGGATATCGGAAACCTAGCTGAGCTGTTGCTGTTGAACTTTTCGTGTGTCTGTCAGTCAAAGGTGGTGTTAGTTGGACACCTGCTTTACAACATGCTGCTTGGCTGAGCCGCTGATTTTTGAATGTACCGAACGCATTCAGCCTGTTGAAACTTGGTCTCGGGACCTTAAATTAAGAGCCCTGGGAAAGATCACTGTATGTCCTTTAGAAACGACGGGGTGAGGCTGCTTCATCATCCCCCCCTCGCCCTTTTAGTGTTCTGCGTAGGTCAAAAGTTAATTAAAAGTGTCTTTGTCAAGTGCGAGGAGCCGTTTTCCCAGGCCCGTGTGTTCTGCTCCTCGCTGCTTTGCTTTAAAGCAGTTTCCCAAGAAGGATTCGAGCAGTGTTGTTACAGAGGGGGGGTGCGCTATTCAGTGTGTTTCGAGACAATGTCTGCATCTTGTTCCTGCAACAACAGATTCAAACTGGAGTTTTCTCGTCTGCTGTATGTTAAACAAAATGAGCATCTTGGTGAGCTGTGAGTTTCGTCCCCATCTTCCTTGGTGCTAAAATTTGCGAATCTATATAAAACAATTTATTGCGAAGAGGTGGGTTGGTTTGTTGGCTATACTGGTATATCAAACCGACTGTATTAGTATTTCTAGAAAAAAAAAGTTAAGTGACGTACCAGCTACTGTACGTGTCTTGGAAGAGACCTGGCTTAAATTTCACCAAAAAAACCCCCAGCAACTAATACTGTTCTGTGAACAATGGTAGGTTTTGTTAGGCTCGTTCATTCTCCTTCTCTCTCTCGCACCTTCTACACAGGGCAAAAGTATTTCTCGCTGACTGCTTTATTTCTTTCCAGGTACTAGTGAACACTGCCTGCTGTTTTCTGATGTTGGTTGCTAAGCTAATCCAGTGTATGGTGTTCGGTCCTCTCCGTGTCAGTGAGAGGCAGGTAAGACAGCAGTGCGTTGCCTTGGATATTGTCGTCTTTCATAATTTCTTGGTGTACGACTGGTGTGGTTTTCTATACGGAATTGCTGAGAGTACACAAGAAAAGTAAATTTTAGAACAGTGTAAACTTAAATCTTACCATTTGGTTAGCTGGTATATCCACAGCCACAAGCTTCCAGTTTCTTTCTGAAGGGAACTTTTCTTTTTCACGGTTCCTATTCTGTTTTATAAGCCCATGGTCAACTTGAAAATCCTGCTTCCTTAATGCACTTTGTCAGGTTTCTTACAAGTGCACCTCATTTCAGAATACGTACAACATGCGGTGTTCTCTATTCAGTTTGCGCTTGGCAGCATTTCTCCGTTGCGTTTCGTAGTCAGTCATCAGCACTGGCACTCTTGAGTTCCCTTTCGTACCTTGTTTTGTGCCCTGACTGCTGGAGAAGTGCTTTCCATCCTCCTACGCCGAGTGGATGGTTTATCTGCCCTCGGGTTTAAGAAGGAGTTGGCAGGCATACGCCCAGAGAAAGGAGGTAAGCAGGGCTGAAAACTCAGGCTGTTTAGTCCTGCTCTTGGATGTTTTTAAAACGTTTTTTAAAATTCAGCAAGGGACCCATTAAAGCCCAGGCTTTTTAAAAACGGGATCCTGCAGAAGGTAAAAGTAGCAGCGGTAGTTTGAATAGTATCTGTATATTTTTTTCAGAAAGAAAGGCAAATGCATAAGTTGCTCTGTGTAAATGCAGTAGCAGCGGTTTGAAGTGTGTTCACGTATTTAAAAAAAAAAAAGTGTGTAAATGCAGTTCTTTAGGAGAAATTGGGCCATGATGGTTTCTGACATGCAGAACTGAGGCACATAAAGCTTCATTAATAGCCATGGGTCTCTCAAAGCCTATTGTATTTGTGATTCACACCCCGTAGAGCCTCTGAGCGAGGGGTATTAAAAACAAGGCACTATGAAACTGCATTGGGCCAGATTTCCTTCTCAGACCGTGTTGACTTGTGGATGTGGAATTTTAACCAGTGATAATTTCCAGCTTGTTCTCTACCCTCTTAAAAACTGAAGTGAAAAGCAGTAACAGTGTGGATCCATTTGCGTTTGGACAGTGGGAGTATGCTTCAGTTCTCATGTAAAGGAAAGCTGGTTATTAATATTGGCGAGCATCATGAAGGAAATCTGGGCCCGTCTTAACTAAACTCCTGGTGATTTCATCGTGTTCTTTAACAAAACATTTTACTTCATAAATTTTTTTTATCCCCAACAAGCTGGCTTGCTATCTGCTGCTTGAGACCATCATATTGTTTCTTTCGTACTGCACGTGCGTGGGAATAATTTTTTTTTTTTCATTGCTCATCCATCTCATTCTCCACTGTAGGCATTGTGCTTTTTAAGAACAGACGTTGTCATCTAAACAGACATTTAATCATCTCTACTTTTTGACAGGTTTTTGGAAGCGAGGTGCTAGGCTATTTGGGCATCTTGTATAACTAACCGTGGCAGTTCTTCTAGCAAAGAGGGCTTTGTGTTTGCGGCCCGGTAGCTGTGCTGCTTGGGGGTGGAGAATCAAACTGGAATCAGACTTGGTTTGTGCTAAGCACCGTTTCAGAAGAACGGCAGGAAGCTACGTTGTGCGCTGTGTTGCACAGTTATGCTGCGGTGGTGCAAAAGACGAGATAGACACTAAGGGCCGCTAATATTTCTCATACGTTTTTAATTCAGTAAGGGTAACAAATACTATGCAAGATGTGTATGCAGCAGGCTTTTGCCAATGTATTGTCGCATTTCTACTTCCATCTTTTTTTTTCTTTCTCTTTTTCCCTCCTCCTCTCCCCTGCGTGTGGATTGTCAGTGCTTTTCCTACAGTAACCAAATATCTTCCTTTACAGCATCTCAAGGATAAATTCTGGAACTTCATTTTCTACAAGTTCATCTTCATTTTTGGTGTGCTGAATGTTCAGACAGTGGAAGAAGTGGTGATGTGGTGCCTCTGGTTCTCTGGACTTGTGTTTCTTCATCTTATGGTTCAGCTCTGCAAGGATCGCTTTGAATATGTAAGTTTTGATTAAGGGCTGTCTTTTGGGACATGCAAATTCTGTTTCTGGTTTGGGCACTGGCTCGTGATAGGTTACAAACAGATCGTTTAGACCTTTTCCCCACCCTGCGGTGCTGAACACGTGCACCTCCCAGTAGCTTCGAATACTTGCTTTAAAGTGCGATGTCAATCTTACTCCTTCAGTTTTCCCATGAGACAAATGGAGCTGAAGATACTTATTTTCTTTGATAAATTGCTCCTTATATGTGCCCTGTAATTACTATTACATAACGCCATGAGATGTCTTCAGAGCTCTCCTTAGTGAAGAAATCTTGACAACAGAACATCCCTTCGATTGGTGCCCTTTAGGATTGGTCCACGAAGCCTGTTTCTGAGGAGTCTGTGCTCAGGTTTCAAGCTCATTTACATCTACCAAGCGGTGACTGCCAGTGTCTTTACAAAATACAGTGCAACTTTCTCCGTAAGCTACATCCCAGGTTCTGTTAATACCAAGAATAAATTCAGTAGAGATGCAGAAACTGAAGGCTAGGCAAGGAAGAAGGAACTGGAATTTGAGCAGTAAATCTTGCCCTTTAAACACCTATAACGGACATGCATTTTCCTCGGCTCCTCTGTCCTGGAATAAAAGTTTGAACTGAATTGAATCCATGAATTTCCTTTTGGTAGCTCTGTGCTTTGCAATTTTTTTTTTTTTTTATATAATATCCAGTAAGGCCTGTTAATTCGCAAGTAGCTAAGCACTAAGCTTGAAACTAGATTGGTTGGGGTTAGGAAAATTGAGACAGAAGTGAACAAGGCAGTCATCTGGTATTTTTAGTGCTGTTCAGAAAGCTGTGAAAGAACAAAGCTCACGTGGGAAGAAATCCTTGTTATATTCCTTCTGCATTCAAAGCATGTATCTTAATTCTTTACTTGGACAAATGGTATTTGTGTGATCTGCCTTGCAAACGCAGGGGGATGTGGAACTGAACCAGATATAAACAAGGAAGAAAGAACCAATTTAAAAACAAAACGTGGGAGTCAACTTCATCAATCAGACCAGAGTGAAGCTTTGGGCAACTCCTTCTTTCCTTGTCCTGTTCTTCCCCTTCCTGCCCTGAACATAAGGGGATGGACCATCTAAATACTTTGCCTCTTGGGTCGTCTTTGATTTAGACAGCCTAGGTGTAGCCTACCGTCAAGGTAGCTTAGAGAATTAATATGCTATGCATGCTATTGAATGAGACGGCTGTTTTCAGTAGACTCTGTCCAGCAGTCTCTAGCTGCAAGTCAGATTTTTTTGGGAGATGTCTCTTTCTTCCAGAAGAAAATGATGTTGGAAGAACTAGAGGCTGGAAGATAAAGCTGGGCAAATTCAGATCAGCTGTAAGGTGGAAAATTGGCAGAACGGTTATTCTCATTGCTCAAAGACTGTATGTTAAGGTTAAGTGTCTTTCTAAAACGCATGTTCATCCTAAGCAGATGCTGTGGATTTGATGCAGAAATTACCGTGTGAGAAAGCGTCCGTGGTTTTCTTGCACAGGTGATCTAAACGTTGGATTAAATAATCGTAATGATCCCTTCTGGCTTTAAAAGCCTGGTGAATGTAAATGACAACGAGATGAATGAGACTTTGGGGTGGTGTGTGGTTTTAGCTTTTTTCTGCGTCATTTATTACTACGTTGCGTGGTTGAGGTCATGAAATCGGTTTTATTCTGGAAAGCAAAAGGTTTTCCTGAATGAGGACTTGCCTGGTGAGGTGACTATGGAAAGCAGGGTGGATGAAGTACTCCTTTAAACCTGTTATGTATTTATGTATTTGTGTTGCAGCTTTCCTTTTCTCCTACCACGCCCATGAGCAGCCACATCAGAGTCCTGACCCTGCTCATAGCCATGCTCCTGTCCTGCTGTGGATTAGCAGTCGTCTGTGGTATTATTGGCTACACCCATGGCATGCACACCTTGGCTTTCATGGCAGCGGAGGTGAGACTTCCTTCGTACGTGTCGTGGTTTCTGCTTTGATTTTCACCCCTCGCTTGGGGGTATCTTGCTTGGCACGCGGTGGGTTTTCTTTTAGTTTCCCACAAGGAAGAAACTCTGAAGATGCAAACACGCCCTCCCCTGTTTTAGAGTAGTTGCCAGATCTGCATGCTTTCTCTCTTTAGAGTTTAAGCCTGCAAAAAATCTTTGTCTGAAGAAGAGAATGAGAGCATAAATCCGTAAGATGATGCTGAAATCAAATGGCAGCCTGTGAAAAAATAATGGTTGTGCTTCATGAACATTGTAAGAAGAGTTAGTTGAAATGGCCACTAGAGAGAGGGAGAGAGTGTGTATGAAAGTGTAATGTGCACCTCAGCCTGTGTCTTTGAGGTTGTATTTTCTATTTCATTTCTCCCAAAAAGGAATGAGACTAACATCCTTTCCTTAAGGCACACTCATGGGATTTGTTTATGTTCGTGCAGAGATGCATCTCAGCTGAGATGAGCAACTCGTGTTTGTGCACTCCTGAACCGATTGCAGTGTGGAGTAAACAACAACATGTTTGTGGAGCGAACATCAGTATGTTTTTGATGTTATGGTGGGTTGTTGCTCTCTGCCTGACGAAGTGATAATCTTAAACAAAGGGGAGGTAACCAGTGTAATTGCAAGTAAGTTGTATTAGCACGTCCTTAGTTCAGATAACAAGTAGCACGTATGGTTTATTTTTCTTCTCCTATCTTGAATTCATACCTGGAGTTAGTGAGGAGGAAAGAAAACAGTCAGCTGATAGTAGGAGAATATGATGCTGGTCACACCACAGTTCAGTTATTTAATAAGTCCATTTACTTTTCCCGAAATACGTGACTATGCAAGGCCAGAGTTGTAATGACACGGTGGAAGGGTATGGAAGATTTGTCACTGTCTCTAATAGGTGGGGTCTCGTTGATGTTGTGCCTCTTATCTTGGCTTGGCAGAAGGATCAGACTCGTACCAGTGTGGGGTAGGTTTATCAGGGAGTGTAACAGTGCCGAAGTGTCGCCTCCTTAGCGCTGCACCGTGTGGTGGTGTACGTGTTTTGGGTTGCAGGATGGGGCTCAGCTATACATTTCAGTGGGAGCTGTTCTGTCTGCTTATTAACAAAGGAGTGGCTCAGCCAGCGTAAGTGTATGGTCCTCAGCCAAGCCATGGATCCACGCAGCTTGCCGTGCTGCTGGTGGACAGCGGGGGAGGTTTGTGGGGAACGTACAGGAAAGGGTCTCCTACCCTCGCTTGCAGCAGCTGGCGTTTGAGGACGTTCCTGAGCCGAGGGTTGCACAAGCCTGTTGGGTTTGATAGCCTCAGATGGGCTCTGGAAAGTTGTCCGATCGTTTATTGAACTCATTTATACTTTGGCCTCCGCAATATCCAAAGGCAACAAATTCCACATTTAACTCGGCTTTGTGTACACAAAAGAGCTCTTTTGAATCTTCTGCCTGATAATGTCCCTTGCTATCATCTAATACATTTATGGTGAAAAACCACAAAGAATCATTCCCTGTTTACTCTTGTTCACACCAGTTGTTATTTTATAGACCTTTCTCCCGTTCCCCTTCTGACTTTTCTTCCGAGCAAAAGAATTCTAGCCTGTTTAATCTTTCCTCATATGAGATTGTCTAATATCTTGCCCTTTCCTGAACCTTTTAAATATGCCCTATATGGGTTGGGTGACCATGAGTAGTTTCCTTGACTTTAATACCCAGCACTCCTGTGAGTGGAATAAAACATTTAGGTTTCTTTCTGTACAGGTACTAGCAGTGACACCTCGTGGCAGTCCTCGGGCTCTCAGCAAAAAGCATTAAATCTTGCAGACTAAAATGTTTTCCTGGTGGTGGCTTGTGTGATGCTGTTCGAGAGGGACACTGTGTGTATTCCATTAGTGTGTATTTAATTACATTAAGTTACATTAAGCTATTCATCTCTCTCCTGACTCCGCAAACATTGATTTAGCTTGATGCCTCAGGGTTTTCAGTAAAGCAATATGGATGTTTTTCTCGGATTTTAGCTAGGCTTCCCCTTGTTCTGTGTTGTTAGTCAGCATTTTCTTTCCGGCAAAGGATGGATGTGAAATGTGCAAATGCCCAGAGAAGGTTGAATAAAGACAGTCTGTATTTTTGAGTAAACGTTAAGGTTTTTTGCCTTTATGTATGGTATTCGAGAATATTTGTTTAGCAAGTAATGTCCAGTCTATATTTGCACCTTTTTTGTTGTAAAAAGGAATTACTCTGTTCCTATAGCAGCCGTCCTCTGATCCTGTTTCATCCATCTCAGCTGAGGCCGTATAATGATAGTGATATTCAAATCTTATTATCTGTAAGGTACAATTCTGGTAGATTTTCCTGTATAGCTGCTTATGCCGCATCCATTATCTTAGTGTTTGAGTGCCTTCCAGTCGTGTGCTAGTCTGCATGACTAGTATCTGCCAGTATCACGGAGTCCCTGGGGGAGAAGCGTGTGTGTAGCGGGGCAGAGCAAGAGCTCTTGAGGTGTTGGTACTGTAAATGTCCTGCTGTACATTTAGAACCTCAGCTTACGGAGTTGTGTAACTTGTGATGCAATGTTGTACTTTCTGCAAAGTGTTTCTCGTGAAATGCGTTTCTGGAAACAGTGGAGGAAGCAGAGGCCAGCGCCTTGACCAAATCTGCACTAGCTTGTCCTTTTAATTTTGATGCTCTTGCTGCCTCGGCACTAACCAGTATAAATCGTGTCTTGGCAACGTTAACTTCTTGAAAGTTGTGAGGATTAGACTCTTCAGATTTCTACCTGACAGAGGTCTTCCTTATTGGAGACTTTATGCCACATGTACTGGTTTTGACACAAGTTTGTGCTCGATGGCATATCCCTCCGGTAGCTCAGGTAATCGTTCTGCTTCACCAACTGGCATGGTTAGAATTTGGACACATTTGGACACATTTAGTTTTTCTCTGTGGTCTGCTCAAAGTTTCTCCATAGCCAAAAACCTCGTGTGAACAAGGTGTAGTCTCTTTCTGGTGCGCACACACGGGGTAACCGGAGACAGAAGAGGGTCTCCTAACGTGCCTCGCAGGAGCAGCTTGCGTGCTAATCTAACTTTTTTATGAAAGGTGTTTGTGATGAGGACAGAACACCATGCTAGATGACTTGCTGTTACCTTCTTGACTTTTTTGGTGTTATTTGAATGACGAGTGCGTCTTATCCTGAAGCCCTTATTTGGATAAAAGATTGCACTGGTGTTTAAATAGTCACAGGAACACTTACTTTGAAGCCAGCTAGTAAACAGTTGGCAGATATTTTGGATATTACTAAGGATTCAGTATGCATCGAAGCATTTTAAGAATGCTTTTTACAAATGGAAAAAATTATTCAAACCAACTGTTTTATTGCTGTATTGGGAAGTTAGTGGTTTTGATAGTTCTTCTGTACTGTTTTTAGTACTTACGCTGAAGGCATGCCATCAGACCAGTCTTACAGGAATGGTTTCAGTTGCTCATTATAAATCCCCTGCATCTTGGTGTCAGCTGGCCCCTGCTAACTACAGGGTAGTGTGGGCAGTCTCTGAAGGGGGTTCGTCCTGTCCCATTTTCTTTCACTGGGAAGATACAACCAAGGGACTGACAGGTGAGAGAGAGGTGATGGGGCCACGTTTCTTAGATGATAAGAGCCCGAGGAAATGTGGTTAGGTATTCTGGAAACAGACCTTGTCTTTATACTTCTGATCTGCTTATGCTTTCTGATATACTCAGGTTTTTTTCTCTGTACTTAGCCTAGAGAGGTAAGTATGATTAAAGAGAGAAGTTACTTTCGCAGCGTTCACATCTCAGCAAAGGGGAAGAATTATTTGAAAGCGCTTCCATGGTTCTTCCTCAAATTCCTGCTACTATTTGGTTCTTCAGATTTTTCTTGAGCAGTGGGATAAGGAGAGGGGTGCTACCTCCACCTGAAGGTAGTTGGTGGGATTGTGGTCTCAACACTCACTGAGTGATAAGAATCGAAAAAGATAGTATGTCCTGCGTAGTGGGGGGAAAAGTGATACTTAACAACAGTGACGCTAGTGGCTGCTCCATGAGCATTGCGTGTCTGAGAACAATTTCTTCCATATTTATGTATAAGCTTCATGTTTGTCACAGGTATGTTGTGCACAGAGTCCTCTATAGTGACTGTTGGTTCACGGGAACTTGTTAAGCTGTAATAAATGCATTTTGTGTTATAGCCCTTTAGCTCCTGCCTCAGTACCACTGTCCCTGCCAGAATGTTGCTAACATACCTTCCCCCCCCCCCTCTTTTGCAGTCTCTGCTTGTGACAGTCAGAACTGCTCATGTGATTTTACGGTAAGTAGCTTATGTTTTGCAGGATGGTTGTTCCAGAAGGTAGTGCATATAGCACGTTGATTTAGGAGGTGTATATAATTACCTTATTGAATTGCAAATGCATGTTTGGAGATGGGCAAAGGTGGTTAACTTTAGTCTGTACTATTTTTAAGCATGAATTCTGCAATGCATGGATAACTTTAGAGGGTGCTAATAGCTTGAGGCATGGATTAAAATGGATTGGTGCTGCTGTATGAGGGTTGATATATGCTACTTAATGTCATCCTGCTGGGTTTCTTTTAAGATCTTAATCTCTAGAACTTTTGCTTTGAAAAAGTAGCATGCCTGTGTATCTGTAATGCACATGTGTATGCATATGTAGGACATGACGTGTAGCACAGAACCTCTTTGTCCAGGTCACTATTGGCATTTCAGGTCTGTCACCAAGCTGTAATGCCTCACCTGAGAAACACCTCATGTGCTGAAAATGTGGGTCTGTAGTTACTCTAATCCCAAGATTGGCTTTTAGTACATGCAAGAGTTTTTAGCAAATGCTACACCTTCTCCGTCAGCTGATGGTATCTGTAATGCCAGTGTGGGCTAAGCGTTGATTGCTTTTTGCCTTTTTAAAATGTTGCTGTTTGAAACCAGGAACATTAAAAAAAAAAAAAAAGTCCCTCAGGAAAGCACACAGTGTGGGCACGGGGCTTTGGAAGGGCAAAGAATCCATATCCAAGGTTGTTTGAAAATGGATAAAATAGTTTGAATGCTAGAGATGCTATTTAACAAAAAAGATAGAATAATGGTAATTTCCCTGCTCTTGCAGATACGTAATTCATCTCTGGGATCTCAACCATGAAGGAACGTGGGAGGGCAAAGGCACTTATGTCTACTACACAGATTTTGTCATGGAGCTAACCTTGCTTTCACTGGACTTGATGCATCATATTCACATGCTGGTATGAAATACTGGACATAATGTTGAGCAGATAGACTGGCCTTAAAATAAAGGCTACTGGGTATACATATTTTATGTATTTTTTTGCTTTGCTTATTTTAGGAACCAAATATTACAGAGAAGTTATTTAAATAAAGAGGAAAATATAGTGCGGGGGGTTCTGGCGTTCTTTCCTCCTGTGTAATTGGAGTCCTCACAAATAACTTTGTTATGGAGCATTAATGACTGTGTAATTATCTGTTTAATAGGTGTTTAATTAGCTTTGTTATTGAGTAATATCAGACTGAATTATTTTCATTGGCAGCAGGGGACGTTAAGCTGAACAGGACTGAATACAGTTTATCCTCACTATAAATGCTGTGCTGCTCAAGTTGTATCTGCAGATGTAAGGCGTAGTAATACCTGTGAACGTGTGTGGTTAGTCTGAACGGTCTCAACAAAAGAAAAATTCTCCAGTGCTGGTTTCTTGATTTCTTTTTCTCTTAAGACCTGCTGCAGTTTCTTGTGGCGGCCTCTTGTTTCCCGTGGTGTTTGTTTCTAATCACCGTTCTGTTTTTTTCCAAAGCTGTTTGGCAATATCTGGTTGTCAATGGCGAGCCTGGTGATTTTTATGCAGCTGCGCTACCTGTTTCATGAGGTTCAACGAAGAATTCGGCGGCACAAGAACTACCTGCGTGTGGTCGGAAACATGGAAGCTAGGTGAGCCTTTTTTTCGCTCTGGGATCTTGATGTGGGTCTTGGAGAGGGGATCCTGATAAAGAAGTTGGGGTTCTTTTATGTTCATTTGATACACGATGGCATGGTGTAAGCCGGAGAGATGCAATCTTGCAAATCTGGCTCTTAAGTCTTTACACTTAGAGTATGTTTTTACCCATTTTATTTGTTACTGGGGGATACCCTGTAACAAGATAAAACCCTTTCTGGTTTTAACAGATATGTAGGATTGACTTTTGTAATAGCAGTATTACTGGTAACGTATTCCTGGCAACAAGTGAACTCCCCTGTCCAGTATTTCTTCTCCTGTATTCTCTTGTATATTACCCTGGTGGGGTGACATAAGCTCTGCAGAGCTCTGCCTGTTTCAGTTGTGAAATAGCAGCTTTGGCTGTGATAGAAATAAATGCTCTCAATTTCATTAGGCCATGCTATTCAGTTACTGCCTGAGATGAAACCAAGTATTAACTAAAACCTGCTCAGCTTTAAGTATGTATTTATTAAACCTGAAGCCAACTCTAAACAGACTCTATACTTGTAGGCGAGCTGAGAGCGCCTTGGGATTACTTTGGTCCATCCACCTGTAGCGAGGCAATATAGAGAAATTGAGAGGCCTGCTGAAACCTAGTATTGTGCCAGATACTACTGCATTTCTGACCCAATGTTTTCGTAACTCAGCTATGTCCTTAATAATTTTAAGAGCAACAGGGAGTTTTTCTGTACATCGCTGTACCGTTTTCATTGTGGACTTCAGTGGGTTTGACTAGCTCTGATGCCTGCTGCTGTAGTCCAGATGGAGAAGACTGACTTCTCTAGAAATTCCCGAGGTTTTCTTTGCGAAAAGTCGTTTAATGACTGTAATATCAGGTTAAGAGCTGCATGATAAAATTCATCTACAATGCATTGTTTGTTTTCAGTAAGATGCAGCCACTAAACCCCTTTAAGCTGCTCACAAAGCTGCTTGAGGTGCAAGTGTCTCAGACTTCTTGTCTGAGTGACTTGATGTGTTTTTGTCATTCTGATGGTTCTGGAAGAACCACATTCTAGCTTCCTTCTGAAGCTGCCAGTGGCAGCGAGCTCCCTGCATTTGTGTAGTTGTTTTTCAGGTATATTCCACACCAGCAGTACTGTGAAATGTTGTTATATCGCTCATCTCTATATTGTCCGTGTTTGGGTACTATGTAGCAGCTGTGCTTGCATGGCACTGTAGTTTAAAAAAAGAAAAAAAAATCAAAGACAAAGGGGGGTTGGCAAAATCTGAGGCCAAAATTAGTCAGGCCATAGATGCTTATGATTCCAAGAAGACATCTTAATGGGTACAGCTATTAAAACTCATTTAGAAAAATGACATAAGCCAAATCCATACAGGTTATAATTTAAGGTTCTCAACCTAATGATCATACTTCTTGGAAGATACTAAGTCAAAGCTTTTTGAACCTCGGATGGATGCAAAGACATGGAAAAAAAAAATGTGCCTGTAAGAAGTCATGGGAGGGACGTGTGTGTGCATCTTCCTTTGCGGTGTGAGTTTGAGTTATGCTAAAGATAGGAAACCTGCTGGCACACCTCTCCCAAGGAAAAGTTAACGTGGAGGATGAGGTTTCGGTTTCCTCGGTGCGGGATTCTCTAGGCAGGAGGCCATGCTGAGCTGGTGTAATCATTACTTCTGTCTCTTCCTTTTTCTTCCTTGTAGGTTTGCAGTTGCGACACCAGAGGAGCTAGCAGTCAATAATGATGACTGTGCCATTTGCTGGGACTCCATGCAATCCGCACGTAAACTCCCTTGCGGCCATCTCTTCCACAAGTACGTTTCTGGGGCTGGAGAGGGTGCACCTGACCGTAGAAAGGAAGGGATATTTAGGCATGGCTGAAAGTTACAGCAGGATGACAAGTAACGAACTATCAGCAAAGCTGTGAATGCTTACTGCCTGGGTCATCTTGGTCTGCTTCTAATAACAAAGTTCAAGTCACGTTCAGTCGTCTTCGTGTCTGAGTTGTTTCACCTGGTGCATTCTTTTCCTCCCCCAAACTAAGAGTCTGCATCTTGTCAGCTAAGGGGTAGGTAGTGTTGAGTTGTGGGATCTCAGTTGCGAGTCTGTACCCTGCCTTGCTGTGTAACCGCTTGGTAAAGCACACTCTTTTCCCCCTTACTTTATCCTGTGCATCACCTCTTCCATGAGGGTGTGTCGATTTTCAGGTGAGGAAGAAAAATTGGAGTTAGATCCCTAAGTACCTTTCAGATACCAACTTTAAAGAGAAAACGGGGAATGCTTTTACATAGTGCATCCTTGCATGGCGATGAGTCCTCTGGGGCAGTTGTGGAGGCTGAGTCTGACTATATGATTTCATGGGGGGATGAGTCCATCAGGGCTGTAAAAGAGGTTAACCAAATTAGCTGAAGAGGTCCCTAAGCAGCTGGTAGTTGGAACTGGGAGGCTCTTGGGCAAAGGATCTCTCTATATACTGTTTCTTACGCTCACTCAGTAGTGACTAGTAGCAGATGCTTGTGGAGACAGTGTGCTGAGCTAGATGTGACTTTTCTTAGATCTTTTGTAGCAGTGCTTACGTTTTCATGCTTGTGCTTAAAATGAAGGGAGATACGGGGATTGAATCAGGAGTTTCTGAAGTGCCATGTGATTAACATGCATGGTCAGTTAAACTGTCCCTGTGGTGTCATATGCGCAAGTTACTTTCTGCAAATAGCTTTTTACGTTTCTGGTAACTGTCAAACCAGAGGTTATAATCTGTGTGCTAATTTGTTGTCATTTATGACAAACCTTGCCATAAATATTTATCTGTGTTCCAAGAAGTCTCTAATGAGATAATGTGCCTCTGTAGCAGAAACTCCTCTTCCAATGCTACTGAATCGTATAAATATTTAATCACCTACTGAGCACTTGAGAAGCCCAGGGTCTTCTCTTCAGAGAGTTGATTTCTCTGTGTCTAAAAGGATCCTTTTGTGGTTTTTTTTCTGAAGCTAAGTTACACTTACCTCCTCGGTGCATTTAGGGAGGAGACATGTTACAGTGGATGACGTATGCTTGCACATAAAACCAGATGTAATTAATAACCCTATTTACAACCTAAGAATGGTTTCTCTCCTCATAAAAGCCTGGTGATTTTTCCAACAGGCTAAACATTGTGTCCATTCTCAATTACATGGGATTTTTTTTCATAGCCATTTATTTGGAGTAGAAGGACAGATGGCAGGGAAGGTTCACATTGCTGAGATCAGCTCTGTGCCTAAATATTAAGGAAGTTTCATGAGAGTAGGTGTCTGAATCTTTTAGGCTCTGTTGAAACTCTCTCCTTTATCTTTTAGGAAGCAGGCAATTTCAAAAGAGATGTTGCCAACCTTGGCCTGTTGTTAGTCTTCCTTCTACTGAGGTGCTTTAGGTGACCTGAGCCCTTCTGCCTGTGCGGTACAAAATGGGTATAACCACGGCTGGCTTGCTGCAAGCCCTTAGGGCTTGGTGCTGATGCAGGCTGAAAGGGGTTCGTGTCCGTTCCAGCATCTCGGTGGTTGAGCCGTTGAGGAGCAGCAGCGTGGTGGTAGCTTGCGTCACTCCGGGTGGTTCACAAGTGACCTTTTGAGTACAACTCTAGCAGAGGTTTGAGCTTGCTGTGTGCAGGGTGGTTTTGCTATAGTAATGGAGGTGGAGCTGGACAGCATCGGCAGTGCTAACGTGCTGGCTGTGCCGATGACCGAGGTGGTGGAAGATGGTAGATTTTTATTGTACTTTGGTTGTTTCTGGGAAACTCATCACTGTAATTTCTGAACACTGCGTATCCCTCCATTTAAATATGATGGAAAACACTTTGGCAATGTGTCTATATGCTACAGCTTCAGGAATTGTGCAGAGTCCTTGTATCCTTGACTTTGCTGTAGTCCTGCAATTAGGACGTTTTCCTTGCTCTGTCAGCCCAAACCTGTGATCTGTGCCTTTACTCCATTTGCAAATACACAATTAGGGAAACAGGTTTACTTGACTTTTTTGTATGTCTCTCTCTTTCTAAAGTGTTTTGAGAGCTCCTGATGGAAAAAACCCCACCCTGCAAGCACGAAGTACATTTTGTAGTATTGAGTTGTGTTCAGTTCTGTGAAATTCAGTTCTTCCATACTGAAAATTAGGCTTAACGTGCCAACAAATACCGCAATTGGGTCATATCCATCTGAATCAAAAAGTAGGCACAGCTCTGAGTATTTAAACCTGCCTTTCAAACACTTCTCACTTTCTGCAAGACAGCAAATGTTCAGAATTAAGTAAACATTGTAATGGCACAGCATTGGTTAGTATTAATAAATGTGTTCAGAGAGTTCCCAGAGTGGTGCTCACTTTGGTGGTGATTCGGATATTGGTATTTTTGAAAAGATACTCGAAAAACTTTGGAGGTGCCATTGCCACATCACACTGGCAGAACTGTGGTGAAAATGTGTCAGTATATTTTAAATATATGGTTGGTTTTTGTCCTTTTTCAGTTGGGGATGGTGAGAGAAGAGAAATGCTTTGTTTCCCCTTCCAGGCAAAACTTGCTTGTTCTGAGCTAGAGGGACAACAAACTTGGAGAGTGTTTTAAGTCTGTGATAAATCTGCATGCTTGTTTATAAAAAGCAACACTTGAGTATTTTCCGCTGAAAGATATAAGAGCCCTATGCCAGAGTCATCAGGAGCTCATCAAGCATACCTCACAAATTATCTCTGAGCAGTCCATGTGCATTTGTCAATGTTCTGTACAGAATATGCTACAGCTGCTTGATGTACTCATGATACTGACGTCTTGGAAAAACACTGCAAGCTCACCGTAATATTACTGTTTTCCTGTCAGCTCATGTCTGCGGTCCTGGCTGGAACAAGATACGTCTTGCCCCACCTGCAGAATGTCTCTTAATATCACTGACAGCCATCATGTGAGGGAGGATCACCAAAGGGAGAATCTGGATGAGAACCTGGTCCCCGTGGCAGTAGCAGAAGGCAGACCACGCTTGAACCAGCACAATCACTTCTTCCACTTTGATGGTGAGCTAAGCAGATTTGACATCTGAGGCTGTTGCCCAAATAAACGAAGGGAACAGCCTTCTGTAGAAGGGAATTCTGTCCATGTTTCAACTGAAATTTAAACTGTGCCTCTACTTGTGTTTGTCAAACACGTATATATTTCTTACAGTTCTTTTGCAAGAGCTCAGATAAGTGTCTCTGAGGTTGTCCAGAGCTACAGAGATTTCTTGAAAGATTTTGTACAACTGCTTCCTTTTCCTTGATTTGTTGTGGTTAGCAGCTTTAATGCTGGCATTTAGTCATCGCGTGCCGTGTTGACCAACAGAATGGGAAATTCATGTGTCTTATTTTGTTACCAGGTGGCTGGTTGATCAGTGACAGTCAGAGGGGAAAAAAATTACGTGGTGCAGTCTAACAGTTCATCTTTCCCCTATCCCTAGCTAATGTGAGGTTGTCAAAAGCCCATTTGCCACTCAAGTTGCAAGGAACTTGCAATGCTTGATCAGGTGCAGAAGTCTGCAGAAGCTTATTCTTAGAAGGAATCATGTAACCGGAACAGTTTCACATATGTGTTTTTTCAGTGGTGTGTTATAAGTACTCACAGAGCAGATGTGATTTCAGACCATGATGAGTTCTGTGTGTGCAGACAAACTTGTTCTGAAAGAGACAATTTCTGTTGCTTATCTTCCAGATTTTTTTTTTTTTTAAATAGTTTTGGTATCGGCGTGTGCTTGTCTTCCACAGTTTCCCAGGTTTTTGATGGCAGTCTTGTTGCTTCTCAGTAGGTTTCACTAGTGCAAATACTCAGCTTTGGGCTCTGTCCTTGTGGAGCTCCCATAATGCGGCTGAGATGCTGCAAACTTACATAGTGACCCGTTCTTCGTCTCTGCTGGTTTTGCAATCTTTGGAGACTGTGGGAGGAGGATAATGGGCAGAGAAGGGTCAGACATTTCTAGGTACACTGAGACTGGCTCATAGCTTCTTGCATGGCTCCCGCTTTTGAGGTGCTTTAGGTCTCCAAAGGCCATTTATATTTAGAATACCACTCTGTTTTTTGATAGCTGTCCTCCCCAGTGCTCTCCTGTGGCTTGGACACCCGCAAAATTACTGTGGAGACAGGAGGAGAAGTGGCATAGAGCAAACCCTGTGTGTGTTTAAATGGAAACGCAGAAGGAGGAGGGAGCCGGCCATGTGCCCTGCGCTGTTGAGCCCAAGCACACAATTGCAGCAGTCACTTTGTTTGGTTACTCTGTGTCCCTTTGTAGTAATATTTTCTCAGTGATGCAGTAATTTACTGCAGCCATCTCCAAGTTTGGGAGACCTTAGGGATGGATTGCACTGCAGAACTCCCCATATGTACCTTGTGGAAATACAAAGACTTACGTCAAATACACATAGAAGTACTTCACCGGCTGAGAACCTCATATTCTTGCTTGACTTTCGTGGTGATTTCTTATTCTTAGGCTCTCGAATTGCCAGCTGGCTGCCCAGTTTTTCGGTAGAAGTGATGCATACTACAAACATCCTCGGTATTGCACAAGCCAGCAACTCCCAGCTTAATGCTATGGTAAGACTGCTTTAACAGTTTGCACCTCAGCCTTCCTATTTGTGTTACGGGACGGGGAAGAGGTACATGTAGATGGAGAACATAAGGGGGAAGGAAGTCAAAAGAGTGTTTAGATGCTACATGAAAGCTTTTTTTTTTTTGAGTGAGAGAAGCTTTATTTTAGTGAAGTTAAGGCTATATGTTGGTTCAAATGTGCAAACATAAAAGAACAGGTCTGGAGGTAGGTAAATGAGGGAGAAAAATTACATGTACTTTCTGTGTAAATAGGCAGACTTTTTCTCAGCTTGCTTAGTGCAACTTCTTTAGCTTTTTTTCAGTACTTATCTTCACACTCAACTCGCAGTAGCAAAGGGTGCGAGTCTGTAACCGGAGAATTTAGCTGTTGGTCAAGTGGTAACTGATCAAACCCAGTCTATAGCTTTTGATTTTTTTTTTTTTAGTATTTATTTTTAATAGCACTAAGCTCCAAGAGAGCTGTTTCTGTGTGAGTGTTTTGTCACTGTGAGATGGGGCTCTCTGTAGCACAGGCAACTCTTGCTGATTAATGGTGATGATAGGAGTGTTGAGGATGAAATCCCAGGTTTGTTGACTTCATACGTAAACACTCTAATGTAGTACGAAAAGAGAAGGATATGGCCTCATGAAACATACTTAGCTCATTTAGTTTGGGAAGTGCTGTTTCCTTTGACTTCTTAAAGCTACTGTGTGCTATAGCATGTTAATGAATGTTCAGTGAGGTATCCCATCGAAGTGATGAAATTTTCTGAATGCGAGATCTCTCCCTTAGCCTTCACTGCTGTTTAAGCCTCAACAGGATAAGGCCACAATTTTTAGGGGGTTTGAGGCAGGGCGGGCAGGGAGCGGTAAGGTGCTGGCAGATGATTTACTAGTTAAATATGCAGGAAATCTCCATCTAAGGTCAGTTTAGTTTTTCTTCTACTGGACACAGTGACAGAAACGGGCTTTTGTTAAGGATGAGTAATGATTTTTTAGCATTGTGTAGTAGCAACTGTAGTACAGTAGCAACTTACATTAAAATGCCTACTTTAGTGGAAAGGTCCAGGTTAGCAAACTATTAAAGTGTTACACATTTTTTAATAGAAAAAAAGTGAAATTCTCCTTTGTGTTACTGAATAAAAACCTAGGGAAGTATTTCGAGGGAAAGGCCAGAGGCTGAAATGCTAAATCAGTTGTTTTGGTCACAAGTTAGTAGAACGGAGAGTTAAGGTTTGCTGTAGTTGCTTGTGTTTGAACTCGCTGTCAGCTGGTGCGTAGTTTTTGCTTTGCTCCCAAAACTCCTTCCACCCTTCTTTTCTTACTGTTGTTGTTCTCATTCCTTCCCCCCCCCAAACTTTCAGCATTAGTTAAAATATAGATTTTAATATTTAAGTGTAGCTGTTGGACTCTGAAAGCATCTTATTTGTCTGCCCTCTTACTTTTATCTATTTAATTTAGATATTATTTAAGTAACTTGAAATTCAGTAATAACAGTTCTGACAACTCAGTTTAACTTACTTGAGCTTTCAGACCCTATTAAACTGGTTTGTAGGCAGGGTGGCTGGAGAGAGTAGGTTATTAAAACTTACTCCACTTGTCCTCACCAGTACCATTTTGGAACCCATCTGGGATAAAGAAAAATTTTCTTCTTCTTTTTTTTTTTTAGTGTTGATCTAACTTGCAGTCACTCATGTGAGTTTTGTATGGATCTTTATTAAAAAGGCTGTCATAAAAAGAGGGTTGGGAAGCTTTCGAAGCCTTTGTGCATCTACAAGCACTCTTCAGGAACCTAAATTTTAAGGACCATGTGGTGTCTCTATAGGAGTTGCAGTTTTGCTGTTGGCTTCAATGGAGTCAAAATATTGCCCCGTAAGCCAATGCCAGCATGGGTTTTCTTTCTCTGGTTTTTCTTTCTGCGTGTGGGTTATCATATCATAAACAGCATCTTTGAGCTGTTCTTTTTTTTTTCTTTTATCTCTTTCTGCTGAGATACTTACCAGCTAATTTCTGTGTACTGCTGATACTGACCGTATAAACCTTGTTTTCTCCAGGCCCATCAGATTCAGGAGATGTTCCCTCAGGTTCCTTATCACTTAGTTCTACAGGATCTCCAGCTAACCCGTTCCGTTGAGATCACCACTGACAACATCTTAGAAGGGCGCATCCAGGTACCTTTCCCCACACAGGTAAGTCATAAGACGCTGCACCTAAAATGACTGACTTTCTTACTTACCACAGAACGGAGCCTGTTAATAACGAGTGAGGGGAGTTGAGGTACGTTGAAGCACTGGTGAATCCAGCTTAGCTTAATGCAGTGTTATTCTTCAGATTTTACCTATGTGAAGATGTTGCAGTCGGAAGCACCAAACCAGTTTTGGCAGTCTAGTCTATGTTACATCTCCACCTTGCAACATCTGACTCCATTGGAGTGTGTGTGTGTCATTGAGGTATACGCATCTGTTCCTTGCTGTGGCCCTTAGAAGAAGGCCTTGGAACGTATTAGGATGGGTCTCAGGTGTGCTTTAGCCTTATCCCTTTGTAATACGGGGTATTTTCTTTAGAAGGAAAGTCGGAGTCTATCACCCATGCCCTATAGCTTGCCCGTTATTGATGTGATTGGACTGCAGGCTGCATGAAGTGCTTGCCTATACAGTCTCAAACACCTTATATAGTGCCAAATTCTAGTAAAAAACCCTCGGGATTTGTTTTTTCTTTATGTAAATCTCTGTAAATGCAGTATATTCAGTCATGTACCAAAAATATATTGAAAATGTCCTAGCTAGACTAGAGACAAATATTTGCTCAGTTAAAGCAGCTCTTCTCGGCCGCTCTTGTGCAGAGCCTTTAGAACATTTCCAGTTGATTTCTCTGCTGACAGATAATTGAATTGTACCACTTAGGAAGGTTTTCTGCAAAGAAAGTAGTCGGCAAAATGATGCCTTGTTCTTAATTAGTGATAGCAGATTTCAGTAAAGCAGTCTGGGGACAATGTTTCTGTTAATAAGAATATTGAATTCTGGTTCTGCGCACATCGGATAGTACTGTTATCTGGAGTCTGCGTGTGTGCAGGGAAGCACAGAGAATTCTCTTAAAGCACAGTGCATTCTGTTTATTGCTAACTTAACCTGTTTCTAAATTGAACATAACACATGACGTTGCAGAGGGCAGAGTTTGAATGTGTTCAAAGAACTCATTTTTGTTTTGCCATTTCACACACTGTATTAAACCCGTGATGTTTGCATTTCAGCGTGCAGATAGCATTAGACCTGCATTGAACAGCACTGTGGAACGGCACGGTACTGATCAGGAGGACACTGAAACTGTCACCCAGGTAATTTGGCATAAAAATGGGCAAAAAGCACAATTAGAAGCTGCATGGACAGATAAGTGCATTTGGTTCTGTACCAGGTCAGGTTGGTGGCAGCCCCCCCTTGCATTTCACACCAGAACTAAAGCTGTCAGGCAACTGAAGTAAGACTTCAGCATGGTGCTCCTGTAAAGAATTATCTGTGTGCTTTTCTTTTCCCTCCTTGAAGGAAAGTGCTCTCAAGTGATATAAAGAACAGAAAAAGTTGATGTGTCTGTTCACGTCTGGTCAGGCCCACGCCCATCTGTGGAATATGAAGAGCAGGATGCTTTGCTCTTCCCCTTCCTCTTCCTGTTCCCATTCTGGACTGCTCCAGACACTTCCCTCAAAATTAGTAGTATTTCTCTTCTGGGTATAAGAATTCTTTTGTGTTCTGGAGGAAGCACTTGGAGACACGGGGAGCTTTAGTGTGAATGGAGTGGGATACAAACAGGACCAAGAGATAACAGCCCTTTTACGTATAAAGCACAATAATGGGTTTTACTGTTCTTCACTAAGGGCTTTATTAAGCAGCATGTGCTAGCTGAAATGTGGCAGGAAGAAAAAAAAATTAGCCTGCGAGTAGAATAAGGCCTCATTCCAGTTTTGTTTTCCCTGACTGTAGTAGCAAAACCGTGAGGGTTTCTGTTTTATCAACCTCCCTTTCTGCTGGCTTAGAAAGAGAGTGAATTTGTGAGGTGTGTGACTTTCTGGCTCTGCAGCCTTTAATGACTTAAATACCCAACCTGTTACTCACCTGAAATTGAACTGTGGCAGTTCCCTCATTAGCAGGTTGCAAGACAGAAGAAACTTGCCTTTGGTTTGGTACTGCAGTTGAGGCTGAAGGAGAGGTGGTGGGGATCGGTACAGGTGTTTGGTAAGGGCCTGGGGCAGGAGGTGCAGAACTGCAGGAATGAAAATCTTAATCTGGGTCTAGCAACTCTTTTTGGGTTAACTTGAAGGTTTTGGTGGCATTTTCCCTGTTCTTTGTGAGTAAAACCTTTCTTTCTACAAATGGTCTGTAACTAGTTTTCCTTAGCTTGGTACTGGCTTCAAATCCCGCTTTGAATGATTGTGCTGCTGTTCACCTTCCTTCCCGCCCGGTGCTACCCGTGTCTCTGTCCTTCCTTCTACAGAACTTGAAAAACCTGAGAGTGGTGTTCGTACGTCATGTCACTGAGCACGTGCTCTCTGATAGCGACGTCGTCTTGCTTTGAATGCCAGCTAAGCACTTTGCTCAAACGATGTGTTTTAGTTGGAGCGAATGGCGGTTTGGATGGAGAATGTATTTTTGTTTTGTAGAATAGCACAGCGACAGCCTGGAGATATGTGACCAGTCGCGGATCTCCCGCAGCTGAGAGGGGCTGCCGGTGGCTGTGTGTGTGGGGTGAACTGGTGGCCTCTGCGCAGGTTTTCCTGCACAGATATCCACAGTAATTATCCGCAGATACTTACTGTGCCGAATGGGATTCATAGGCACAGGCTGAAGTGGGAGACTGAGACTGCCGCGCACTGAGAGAAACCTGCTGCTGGGTAGCCGTGGAAGCTCCAGTTGCTGCTGTTCTCCTCCTGCCTCGTAAATGCTTTGTGCATTTAGTGTTAACCTAGGCTGGCTTCAAACAAGCTGATCGCTCTTGTTACATAGCCACGGAGATCTGGCTAGGAGTCAAGCTTGCTTACCTCCTTGCTATTGATAGTATTTCTGTTGTGGAGAGAAGACTTGGGAGCCTAGGGGCGTCCTTCCTCCAGGAAACTCCCGTCGCTCTTGTGTCTCTTTGATTTTGATTTCAGTTTTTAACTGAGTACGTGGCGTATTGTTGACGTTGTCTGTCTTCTTGCCAGAAGAATATCTTGCTGAAGGCTGTCAAACTCTTGTCGGTGGGGAAAGGTCTAGCAGCAGACAAGCTACTTCAGCAGGTTGCGCTTGATTTTTAAGAAGCTTTTTAAATGCAGGTGGGAAGGGACATAAGAAGCCATCATCATCTTCTCTGGGTGAGACTTGAATTTCCAAATACTGGATAGATGTAACTTCACACTTTATGACACAGTCCCTGAGAGAAACCATGGCAACTCTAGTTGCTTGGTGCTGCAGCCTTAGAGTAAGTTTTACAAGCTTTCCATCTCTGTTTTTTTTTAAATCAACATACCCACTGAGCATCTTTGTAGATCTCCAAGGGCAAGTGGCAGACCCATTGGAGTTCTGCTTGTTGGAAGTAATGCTTCTTGGGGGAGCTAACATGCTCAAATAAAAGCACCCTTCTTCATGAGTAGCGTTGGTTTTCCTCTGTGCTATATGTCATATTATGACTTAATTCTATCTTGAATTCAAAGGTCTTAGGATAGACATAATGACTGATTTCTGCCCCCCCCTCCAATGTAGCTTATGGTTTTGGGGTGTCAGTGCTGACACAACGTAAGGGTAGTTGAGAGACATCTCTGAGCACCATCACGGTATAAATCGTGTTAAAGGTTTGTGAGATAACGCTCTAAACATGGACAGCGTCTAACAGTCCTGGCCCGTACGCTCAGTAAGATGCTGTGCGCATCCTCTTCTCCAGTTGCGCACGGAAATGCTAATGCTCCCGGCAGTGCGCGTAATGCTCTACACCCTCGCTCTCCATCCCTGTCCTATTTGCCCTCCCTCCCCCTCTTTTCTGACTGCTGTTACTCCCTACGAGAACAGATCCCTGAGCAGCTATAGCTCCTTTCTGCAAGCTTGTATTTTCGTGTGCTAAAATGTATTTAAAGATTATCCTTTACCATTGTTTGTGTGTGTGTTTGTCTGTTTCTGTAATCCTGGGTGGAGATCGGGCAGGACTGCTCAGACCTAACTAGTAAGCTGTTGTTACAAAGCTGACGGTTGCCTGGTGCAACTCTCGCTCCCCCCCGCCGCACAGAGGATCCAGTTTATTGTCATTGCTTAAGTCCTTGGTGACGCTAGAGACACTTCTGAGGCATCCCATGGCTTTCATGAAACTAATTCTTTTTTTTCTTGGAGCCTGAAGGGGGAGTAGTTTCTGTAGCGTACAGGTTTCTGCGTCTGAGATCTGCTCTCATGCTGAGGCTTGTCATAACTTTTACTGCAATTAGTTTTGATATTTTTGTCTCTAAAACCGCCTCGGTAACCACTCTTGCGCTGAGATATAGGAATGGGCTCTGGGTATTGATTTTTGCATCTTTGTAATGCTACAGGGAAAAAAAAAAAGCTTAGGTGAGCTAGCTTGTATCTTCTGATACAAATGGCCTGGGGGCGGGGGGGGGGAGAGTTATCTTGTCTGAACATCGACCCTAATGAGTGCCCTCCTCGCTGCCTTACCCAGCAGAGCTTCCCTTTTCCCTGTCCGCCTGCGTGGTAATCGGGAGCAGCAGTCGGGTTGCTCCGTACCTGTTCTTCGGGGTCTGCCGAGGTTGTCCTGGCCCCGGCTAAAATGCGTGAGATCGTTGTGTGGAGCTCTCGCTTCCTCCTCTCGGATGTGGCATTGCTTTGAGGCGGTCCAACGGGACCCCAGCGCGTTATCCCAGCGCGTTAGTGTGCCAGATAGGGGAGCCCTTCCCCAGCACACTGGAATTTACGGGTTTTGCTGAAATAGGCTGAAGATGGGCTTGTGTTTGAGGTTGCAGTGTTCGTACTGCTCTGGCTTGGGCCCTGGCGTTCCCGCTTGGTTCACCTAGTTGATGGGAAGTGACATTTGTCTTGGTTTTCGCTCTCTGAAGACGTTGTGTCGGGGAGATGGCGTTACCGGTACGTCTCCAGGGCTTTGGAATGACTCAGCTTGTTTTGCACATCAGCTGCTGAAACCTCTGCGTTGCACGCTGTAACGCTGCCGAGTCCGGGCTGTTGGGACCTGGGCAGCGGTCCCCCTGCCGTGCCCGCGCCACCGGCTCTCGAGGCTCCTGCGGCGGGGGTACCAAAGGCCCCAAACTAGGCGGTAGGAGCTGATTTGGCTAATACCTCTCCGATGCATCCTACTTGTTTGAGTAATCCTCTGGGATACCAAATGATGGCTAAACCCTTAAGCTTGAACCCGTAAGCGATTGAGGTGATTTGTTTCTTGACGCGACTATGCTTAGTGACATCTTGCTTTTCCATCGCGGAGCTGGTCTGATGGTATCTGACAGGATGTGGTCAGGATACGCTGTTTCACCTATGCTCGTTCACCAGCGTCATCATTTATCAGCTCAATTTTCACGTTAGTGTTGCCGGGGGGCTGTCAAGGGTGACGAGGTACTATGTGCGGGGCTGGCGGCAGCTTTCATTGACGCGCCGTGCTCGGGACAGTTGCCAGCCTTGCTCCGGCAGCCCGAATACACGATAATTTGGGTGCTGCAGAACCCGGTGAACCGAAGCCTCATAAACTCCCTTCTCAAGCACGCGTCCTCTTTGCAAATATATTTGCTACTCTTTCCTCGGTATATGGATTTCAGCTTTTTAAACTCTTTACTGTTGCACTGCTTGTCAAGTCAGCTGCAAAATCTGACTATTTCAAATGCCCCATTTTCATAGAGCGTTAATTGTGAGTAATTAATGTTTGAGATTTCTTTCAAACATGGCATAAAAGATACAGCGTTCTAGAATACAGGCTCTTTGAAGTTGTTTCGAAATAGCTCTGTTCTGTATTTTAGCTGGGGTTTTCAAAGGAGCCCAAGGGAATTGGGTACAGCAGGTGAGAGTCTAGTTTCTTCCAACGCCTCAGAAGACGGCGGTTCTTTGTAGCTTGTTGACTTGATGCAAAGAAGCCCTGTTAGCAAATTTTGCAAAGACTTACGACTCTTTTCCTTTTCTCTTAGACTGAGAGAGTGCCACTTGAGCTCAACTCAAGGCTGGAAGAAATGGTGGAATTCAGCGAAATGGAAGCGGAGCCTAGCGAAGCAGAAGATTTCGAGGCCAGGGGAAGTCGCTTTTCAAAGTCAGCTGATGAAAGGCAGCGTATGTTGGTTCAGCGGAAGGAGGACTTGTTGCAGCAAGCTCGAAAGTATGTTCCTTCCTAAAACACCAGCCTGGCCACTCGGTTGTAGTCCCCCAGGATGGGTTTCAAATGAATTATGGCCGCTGAGAGCCTGGGTTGATGCAAAAAGTAGTAAGAGGAATGAATACAGCTGCTACGGCTCAGGATGCTGTTTAAGACAACCGGCGCTGATAAACCCAACTCTGAGATAGCGTCACGTGTCCCAACGTGTACACAGCTTCCTAAGCGGTTGTTCCAAAGCTCTTTGAAATCAGGGGATGATTTCTCCAGCTTCAGTGGGCGTTAGTTTGAGCCTGTAATAAGCGGGAACGCATTACTTGGGCCGAGTCCTCTAGTAATCTTCGGCTTGCCTCCTGGCGTAAGCGTCAGCCCGCGCTGCGTGCGCTGTCACAGCTGACGTTACTGTCGGGCACCGCTCTTACCAAATACAGAGCCAGCGCCTTACGCACAAAGCAGCACGAGGGTTGACAGGTGGCCACTGACCACTAAAGCGCGCCAGAGGACCAGCAAGTCAACACCCCCGAAGAGAGAGTGACGAACTTTGTTTCTTTCAGCCCCACTAGTAATAGGCGTCATAGGCAGAATTTAACTTTTTTCACCTGCGTCCCAGTCGTGTCGGTGAACTTCACTAGCACCCGGTTGCTGATTAAAGAGAGAAGGAAAAGTGCCTTAGTGGTGTAGAGAAAACTCTTCAGCGTTTGTAACAAACGGTGTCCCTTCCTTTGTATCGCAGGGAGACCACTGAAAGGGTCTACGAAAACTACACCGACTTACGCGTCCTGCGGTGTTATCGGGCTACCTACGCTCTTTTTTTTTCCCCACCCTGAAATGCCTTCACAGAAATAACTGGGGCTATGACACCTTTTAAGAGTTCGTCTGTAAGGAGGCTTGCTCCTAGAATAATTTTTCCTTTATGTTTGCAAAATGTCATTTACAGAGACAAAGTATTTTTGACTTACCGGTTCCCTTCCCGTGTTGAAGAGCTGTGGAATTGCAGACTACCATGTTTTGTCACTAAGTGTAGAAATTCATTGGGATGTTAACTCTGGCAGCTGCTTCCTTGTGCTTTTGCCTTACCTTACGCTTCGCGGCCCTAGTGCCCCTTCTGTCAAAGGCTCACTCATCATCAGGGCGTGACTTCTTGTGGTGGACGCTGCCAGCATCTTAGAAGTGGTGGAATAAGGGGGACAGAGAGATTCGGTGCCTGACCTGCGGTCTCCGTGAATTGCTCCGAGTTAAGAGTGGAGCCCCCGCCTGTAGAACTGGCTCCCTCCCGCGGGCCCGAGGATCTTGCCCCAAAACTAAGAGCTTCTGCAAGTCTCCTGTAGGTTATACAGGTTTTTTCTTTTTTTTTTTTTTGCGTACATAGCTTGTGTGTGCTTTTATCAAGGTATTTTCCCGCTTTCAGCGTGCCTTGCACCCTCCCTTACTTCGTGGACGTGCCGGTGAAGTATTTTCCAGAGCCAAAATGAGGTGGGCTCTGCTCACCCGTCTTTTCCTTTTCCCTCTTGCAGGCGTTATTTAAACAAAACCTCCGATGAGGAGTTGACCACGGAGAAGCCCTCTCCCCCGCCTGAGGGAGCATCCGCCGATCCCGTCACCCTGCGTCGCAGGACGCTCGCAGCCGCCGCCGAACGGAGACTTCAGATGCAGCAAAACTCTTAGCGCTCGTTGCCCCTCCTTCCTCCTCCTCGTGAGCAATGTTGAATAAATACATTAAATACAAAAAAAAAACCCCCAACCCTGCGCTTTCTGTACCAGCAGGAAGGTGTCTCTTCAGAGTTGAGCTAGCTGTGCTGCCGAGTGAGCTGGCTGCCTCTCTGCTGTATAAAGCATGTGGTCTAATAATGTTTGGACAGCTGACAAATTAACCTTTTTTGTAATATTTTCTATGTGACGTTGATCCCTTCCACAAACAAAAGGCAATTTCTAAACCACGGGCATGATTTCTGCAGCTGGCGTGAGGTATTAGGCTGGCTGCGCGGCAGAGGCTGGGGAAAGCGTGTTCCGAATTAGCAGCTTGTGGGCGCGGGTCGCGGAGGGCGCTGGCCTGTTCGGCTCGAGATCGGGGACTGTTATGCCAAGAGGGAAGAAAGCTGAGAAATTTGCAGCGAACCCTGCGGTAGATGAGCAGGCGCCCGCTCTTCAGTCCCTGTTCGTGCCGACAGCGAAGGGCGTTACGTGGGCCGGCTGGAGGGGCTGGGGTGGCGTCGCTGGAAAGTCGGTTCTTAGACTGGATGGAAACTGTCTAGCTACGTAACGCAGAAAAAACCAAATTCATGAATTGGGCAGCGAAGCACCGATTCGCATCGATTCCAGCATAAAATAGTTTGTTTGCCGTTGCTGGGCCCTTCTGCCCCGGCAGATGCCTGGCTCCCTTCGCTCCCCAGGGCTGCGTTATTTGTCCTTTGCCTTTTACGGCCAGAAACAAGCGAGAGACTGAGGGGAATCGAGTGAAGACGAGGGGGCGCGCGGCGAGGTTACGGCCCCTGCAGTTCAGTGTTACCATAAGCCGAGGGAGTACGATAGGAAAACCGGCCTGCTCTGGACTCCAGAGCAACACGGGCGGGACTTCACGGAGCGCGCTCCGGTATCTTGCTTTTTATTTCCTTTTTTTTTTTTTTATTTTTTTAACCCCACAGCTTCACCGTGAGTTTATGCAGAAAGACCGGAGGAGTTGGGGCGGCCGGACCTTCGGCTGGCTGCAGCCCAACCTGCTGACCTCCGGTTTTTCTAAAGAACGTCTGAGACGAGATCCACTTGGAGCCGCCGATGCTAGCTTGCGTAGTTGTATTTTACATGGCAGTGACTTAATTTTTAAACTTCAGAAGAGTGAGTTCTGGTATCACTGTCCTTTAGAAGGAGCCCAGTATTATCTAGAATTGTTGGTAACTTTTTTTACTGTTGGTTTTTAGGACTTTTGAAGGTGAATTTAATGAGAGGAGTTGCATCGATGTTTAGGTGAAAATAATTTATTTCAATAAAACTCTTTGGGAAGCCTTACCTTGCAATGCTGTTAGTAAACTTCCAAGACTTTTTTTGAGATCTTTGGTTTTGCTCAGAGCACAGCTGTTTTGTTTTTATTGTTAAAAAAAAAAAATAAAACAAAAATAAAATCTTGGTCAGTGTTGGAAATTGTTTGGAAATGTCCGTGGCGTGACTTCTGCCCTTCCTGGCGCGTGCTCGGTCTGTAAATGTAGCACCTGCACTTCAGTCCCCTTCGGTTCCCCCTTTCTGTCGCGATGGACGGGGGCAGAGCCGCCCGCCGCCGGGCTGAGGGACGGCTTCCCCAGCCTCGGGGTGCAGCG